GTGCCCAGGGAGGGATGGGAGCAGGATCCGTGCCCAGGGAGGGATGGGAGCAGGATCCGTGCCCAGGAGGGATGGGAGCAGGATCGGTGCCCAGGGAGGGATGGGAGCAGGATCCGTGCCCAGGGAGGGATGGGAGCAGGATCGGTGCCCAGGGAGGGATGGGAGCAGGATCGGTGCCCAGGGAGCGATGGGAGCAGGATCGGCGGTGCTCGGCAGACGCGGTGCGGGCACCGAGGACAGCGATGGGGCCGCACGCAGCGCTCCGCCCTTCAGGTTTCGCTCCACCCTTCAGGTTACTGCTCCAAAACCCCAATTCCCCAATTCTTTCCTGTCTACCTGCGCGGTGCAGGACGAGAGAAGGGCTATAAACGTTCCCGGTCACAAATACAGTTTGAATGAGGGTGCACAGAAGGAGTGGTGCAATTCCCTGCTTCATGGAGCATTTTATTGTGTTTCCTGATGGTAACAGATTGATGCTATTGTGCTTGTTAGCATGGTCAGCTTTTAGTACGAGGCCATTAAGGGTTTTATCTCTGTGTGGATCTTTGAGGTTCTGAGGGAAAGTTTTCCCCGGATTTCCAACACATCCTTGGAAGCCAATACTAATAAAGTGTCTTGTTTCTGTCCCACAGCACACTGAAGGAAGCATTTGAGATGCTCAAGCAACGTAAGTTTTTCCTTGTTCCCTTCTGACCTGGCAAACACAGGCACTCAGTGTGTCCATCCTGTTCCCCACACCATTCCCAGCTTTTCTTTCACAGCCTGTAGTATAAAGAGGGGAGGAAAAGGATGCCTAAATGTGCCCAAGGCTCAATGAAACCCTTTCACACACACAAAATGCTGCACTGAGAGCCAACAGGACACTGTACCTGATCACTAGCACCTGCTGTTTACACCAAAACTGCCTCTTGAAAAGCAGCTACTGGACTGAGATATTTTTAGGGCCTGGGTGGGGGAGTTCAGTGTTTCTGGAACATGCAGGGTTCCATTTCAGAGGCACTGGAGCTGACAAATGCAGAGCAGTTCCCAGCCATTTCAAACAGCAACAGCCAGGTGCTCTGAAATTCAATCCATCTTGGCTGATCCTAGGAAATTCTCAGCATGCAGCCTCATCTAATGACTGACCACTGCTGGCAGCTCCCAAGAGCAGCGACAGCCCAGCAGCACAGCCAGGGATGGATGATGGAGGCCAGAGCTCCTTCCCTCCCTCTGCACAACTCCTGACCCTCAGCCTCAAAGGAAGGGGGCAGCTGGGGTGAATGGGGCCATGAAGAAACACACTCACTCTGTTCTTGAACCTTCAGCAATGTCAGTGCATACAGAAACACAAGGGAGACCTTTCTTAAGGCTGTCCTGCTTGTGACAACTCATAAGGCAGTCACATCACAGAAACATCTCCAAAAAATGTGACTTTGAAGACCTTCCCACTAACTGAATCTGAATTTTGATTTGCTTTAGAAATTGAAAGTGTTGGAAACTCTCATATCCAGCTGGCAGTAATGCTGAAGGAAGAGCTGAAAGGAATAGAGGAGTTCCGAGAAAGGCAGAAGGAGCAAAGAAAAAAGGTGAGAAGCTAGAGAAATGTTGAAAGCCATTGGGTCAATGGGCTGTGCTGATGATCTGTCTCCAGCCACAGGCTGGGAATTGTGCAAAAGATGATAAAGCATTACCAGCGTGCCCTGCTCCCTCTAGAGACGAGACTGGGGAACAAAAATCTCTTTCTGATCCCAGCTGGAAATAAAGCAGTGCTCTGAACCCAGAAGCCAGAGGCTTTAGTCCCTTTTGCTCTCTCTGGTGTAACTGCAGATGCTGTTATTATTATTTCTGTAAGAACTTAATCCTTCCTTTTATCTTTTTTATACCCTTGTTAATGGTTTTCTTTGCTATGACCCTGCACAATCTCCAACACCAAATAAAGGAGTAACACAAATGTTTAAAAACATGAAAGCAAATTAATGTCATGCTGAATGCAACAGCAATATATGCTGAATTCCAAATACATGAAATAAGTAACATCTAGCTGATGCTGTATAATTGAAAATGCATATAACCAGTATCCAGTGCCATAAAAACCGTGTGTCTACAAGCCCCTGACACACAGGAACTTGGAATAGCAAAGAATTCTGAATACGAAAGTGGGTGAAACCAGTGCTGCTACTGAGATTTGAGGCCGACAGTGATCTGATGAAGCAAATGAGGCAGTGGGCACCAGGTTCATCAGTGTTTGTCCCCCATTCCCTTTGCACTGGGATGTGCAGAGAGGCTCCCTCCTGCTGAGAACTGTAAGCCTGTAACTGGACTGGGAATAGTTAGAGGGGCCTGGGGAAAAAAAAAGGAAAAACTGCTTTGGAGTCCTAGATAAGCTTTTTTCTCTGTCCAGCATGTGGCTGTGAGGAAGCCAGCATTAGACATGCTGGATGGTGTCAGCAGTTTTGGTAACCTCCCAGAATGCTGCGATTTGTGTTGCACTGTAGCTGTCTCAGGACTGCCCAATGTCAAACAAGCATCTGGGTGGCCCTGGAGAGAGTTTTACTTGAGCAGAACGTAAAGATTAAAAGATCAAAAGTCCCCCTGAAGAAAGCCAGTGAGAGCATATCTCATTGTCACATAAAGCTGGGCATCTCAGAACTAAAACCATGGAAGAGAATCCAGCACTGTCCTTCCAACACTGCCCGGACAGCTCCAGCATGGAAATCAAATCACACTGAGCATAAAGTTGCCAGAAGCAGTGGAATATAAAAGAGACAGGAACTGTTTGGGTTGAAAATGGACAACTACCTGTGCTCATGTGGGTGAGGCATTGGTTTGGTCTGCAGAGATGTGGGATCAAGCTCTGGCAGTAGCAAAGGAACCCTGCTGGCAGAGCCCACTGTGATTGGGTGCTGCAGTATTTCATCTCTTTAAGAAAACCAACCAAAACCAAAACCAAAACCAAAACCAAAACCAACCAACCAAAACAAAACAAAACAAAACAAAAACAACAAAAAAAAATAAAGCAGGGAAGAAAATGAAGATCTATGTCCTCTCTGCTATTAATGGAAACCACTGAAGCAGAATTATCTGGGATTACTTTTTTTACCTGGCACTTTGATGCTCTCTGTTTCACTTAGAAACTTGTCATTTATAAAAGCAGATTGAAGTAATTTTGCCCACAGGGAGGTGGCTCATAGAAAGGCCCTGATTATGGTTTTCCTAATCCTGCTGCTGGAAAGCGGGGGAAGTTCAAAGCAAGAAATGCTGACTTGTGTGTGTTTCTGACAGTACGAGTCTGCCATGGAGCGGATGCAGAAGAGCAAACTGTCCCATTATAAGAAAACAATGGAGGTAAGTGGGAGGGCTTGGGCAGGTTTCCTGATGCAAACTGGCTCCAGTAAAATCTGTATCACATGTACCTCTATTTAAAGAAAGGTCAAAGCTGTGTGAGTGTGCAAGACTGTGTGAGGGAGGGAAGATGTCATTCCTGCTGTGAGGAGAAAGCTGATCTTCCCTGAAAAGTCTCCAGAAGGTTAATACAGGATGAATGGTGCCCCAGGTCAAATAGGATTTCATTCTCTCTTGGCAAGGGTACTTAGAGGAGTAAATGTAATTTTTCAGTTTGTGTAAGTACAATTTTAAGAACAGTGAAATCTTTAAGGCAGGAGGAATCCTTTCCATCTGGAAAGCTTGCAGGTACAGAAACTATAGGCAGCTGGGTTTGGTTTCCAATGGGCAACTGCCTCTAAAGGAAAGTAGTTGCAGACCTGTCAGTGCTACAGCTGGAAGTGTACTAATGATTTTTTTTTTTTAATGTGGTGGTTCTAAGTGCATCTCTAAGATAGAGAGATGATTTGGTGCAAATAAAGATTTTTCTTGCTTCTGAGAACTACACCAAGACTGTTGACAGTGGGGTGCTGGCTCACAAATTCATCTCTTCATGGCTCCTGGGCAGATGCCTGGTGCACCAGTGGTGGTAGAGCAGCCTGTGCGTTCTTGACCCCTGCAGGGAGTTGCAGTTATACAATGCAAACAATTTCAGGGCTGCAGGAAAAGGATTTGTGCTGTCAGCCCCCATTCCAATGTTTCAGTTCTATTTTCCTGCCTCCCTACGGTGCCTTTGGGATTTTTTTCTGTTTGGGATTTTTTCTGTTTGGGATTTTTTTCTCTTTGCTGATTTGCTGCCCCAGACTACAAAGGAGGAAGTGGCTGGAACATCCCTGTGGGGGAAGCCAGCCTTGCTGCCCAGGCAGACCCTCACGTTTGATCTCATTTGCACCCAGTCCAAGAAGAGCTACGAGCAGAAGTGCAGGGAGGCGGACGAGGCCGAGCAGTCCTTTGAACGCACCAGCGCTGCAGGCAACCCGAAGCAAACAGAAAAGGTACCTGGGATGCCAGTGCTGTTCTGGGGGAAAATGGGGCTTTACCTTCTCCAGGTCCAAGGGAATGCAATAACCAATCCATTCTACAGGACGCCAGGGGCTTTGCCTTGGAATTAACCCCAAAGAATCCTCTGGGAAGGGACTAAGTAATTGAATTAATTTATCCCAGGCTGTGATCCAATTGCTCTATGAATCCTGAAAGGAAACTGAATGAGATTTTTCGCTGAAATTACTCATTACAAAAAAGAAAAAAATCAAAAATATGTCATGCAGTTAGTTTTGCCTTTTGGTCTCTTACACTTAGTAGGCGTAGCATCTTACATTAAAATGCGTATTTTTCCTCAACGTTTTTCTCCTCATGGTGAGTTTAATTTCAACTAAATTTACAGACTCAAAAATAAATCGTTGGAAATTAAGGCACTGCAGTCCTTCATTGCATCGTCTTGATACTTGCAGCTGACAATTCACTAACTTTTAATGGGAACATTTTACAGTGAAACAGATGGAGAAAACAAAATAAATGAACTCCCTTTGGCTCGATAAAAATCAGTGCAGTGTAAGCAAAAAGGATCAAAAATCATCTCAAGGAGCGGAGGGGTGCTGGTGTGGAGACTAAAAACAGCATCAGAACTTTACATTTTATTTTCAGCATTCCCTAATCTTTGATAAGCAAACCCCTGCAGCTTAGCTGCAAAGAGGGGATGGAATCCTGGCCCTGCCAAAATGACACCAGAGCATTTCACAGCTTCAATGGCAGCTAAACCTGACCCAGCTCCTTCCATGCAGAAGGATCCCAGGGTGCTCCATTGCCATTTCTTCCCCTAACATGCCAGCACGTTGGGAATGCACAGAAGCAGCTCACAGGCTGTTTAATTCTGCTCAGCATTTGGAAACGGTTTGGGCCAGGAAGCAAATAAGAATGAAACTCCTGTTCCCAGCTTACTACACCTTTCCCAGCAAGCTGTAATGAGGAATATGATGCTAAGAACCCCTACCTGAGCCTTGTCTTCAAGGGCAGGGTGGAAGAATGTATTACACTGATGTCTAGAGCAGTGCATGACTGTGCTGTCACCCCCATCTGTGCAGAAGGACCTGCAAGTACAGACCTGTCAGTAGTGGCTGTTTCTCATTTGCTAAAAGCTGCAGATTTTTAAAACAGAGAACTTCTACTTAGAGTGAATTTTGCTTTTAGGCTTCTGAATTGTTATGGAAAATAATCTGCCATTTCCAAAGTATTTTAAAAGCTGTGTGCTTTTCATCTGAGTATTACATGAGGAGCTTGAAAGATGAAGAATTTTAACTGCCATTTATTTCTGCTTATAAATATCTATTAGAAAAGCACATCAAACAACTGAGAAAAAACAGCTCAGCCAGCAGGCACAGCTTCAGGCTGGATCATGCTGGCTCTGAGCTCCTCTGGCAGGGATGTCTGCATGGAAAGCTTTCCCTTGAAGTCATTGCACCTATGGCTGCACCTGGGAAATTCTGGTCCCTTCTCCATAGCACACATTCAGCAGAACTCTGCACAAAGGGGGGACAGCCAGGAAGTGCTTGCCAATTAGAACCTTTCCCCTAGAGGGGAAGAGAGAGCAAGCAGCACAAAAAACTGGGGCAGAAGCAAAAATATGTCAGAAGTTAATTTGGGGTGTTTCTTTTCCTTTTTCAGAGCCAGAACAAAGCCAAGCAATGCAGAGATGCAGCAAATGAAGCAGGTGATGCTGTTTGCTGTTTGAACTATTAATCTTCTCAGCAAAGACCTACCAGCACAGGATTTTGATAGAACACATCCAAATCACCCAGGCTGTCAGAGTTCCCAGAGTCACCTACCCAAATCTGAATGAAGAAGCCTCTGAAGAGCAGCAGCCTGACAATCATTGGCATTCACTCCCCACTGTGGAAATGCCAGTGTCCTGCTTGCATTAAAGAATTCATAGAAGACTTCCTTTAGGGACATCACCCAGGAAAGAAAAGCTCTTCTTGAAGCAAGTTTGAAAGCACACTAGACACTCAAATTGCCCTGAGGCAGCCCAAATCTCATTCCCCATGCCCATGGCATGAGCACAGTAGTGATCTGCAGCTACAAATGTGTGTATGCCCAGGACAGGCCAGCACACAGCTGAGCTGGCTCAGGAGCTCAAGCTTGTGCCTCCCATGGAATAGCTTACACTAAATCACATGGCTCACCTGGCTGGCTTGGAATGAAAAGAGCCTAAGGATACTCAGTGCCCAAGCATGGTCCAGGCTCTTCATCTCTGAATTGTGTTACCCCTACTGTAAAGTTTATAACTGATCTGCAAGCCATACAGAGAATCCTTACTCTAGTACATAGCTACAAAGAAAAGAACCCAGTAATTATTGTGCCCCACCAGTTCCAAGTTCACATATTCTTGTGATACTGAAGCAAAGCACAGGCCTGAAATGCAGGAATCACAGGAAAGGCCCAATAGGAGGAAAGTGAGAAAGGCTGTATCACTTTTTCCCTGACTGTTGGGTTTCTGTTCTGTGTCTGTGTTTACAGAGAATGTTTACAAACAGAACATCGAGCAGCTGGATAAGGTCAGGACAGAGTGGGAACAGGAACATATCAAAACCTGTGAGGTAAACCTTGATTTTCACAGCGATGTTTGCACACTCTTTATTTTATCCCATTGGAAGATTTCAGTCTAAGGCCTGAAATGTCATCCCAAGAGTTTTGCTGTTTGCTTTATGTGTAATCTCAACAGATGTCTTTGCAAAATTACTGCAGAAACTAGGGCTTATTTAGACATAGCTGCTCCTGTATCACTGACATTCTCCTTGCTTGGTCAGCATAGCTATGTAAAAATAAAGGAGTGGAATAAGTGCAGAAGTGAGAAAGGTGGAGCAATATATGAGCTGCTACATACCCCAGTCACTCTTCATGTTTCATAGCACTTTAAATTTACCTGCAAGAATATTTGTCTTTTGCCATGAAATAATCTTTCAGTTGAAAGGCAGTGGTAGAGAAGTCTCTGTCTCCATTTTACTGAGGATGGACAAGGAGATTTGCACTTGGCTATTAAGTTTTGCACAACAATTTAGAGGAACTGGTTGGCATCCAAATCAGCCACTCATTTGATCACAGTAATCCTTCAAGTACATTTGCCCATCTGCTAAAGTCAGATTTTGCTATATTTACTTGTTGCAGACTTTATTTCCACATAAAATAAAATGCCAGGAGCATACATCTCCAGTTCTCTGCTTCATCTTAAATATTCCCTCTCTGAGAGGACTGAAAAGCCTCACAACTGGCAAAGACATTTCCACAGATATTATGCTAAGCCTTAGTCTTCCAAAGAGGCATATTTTCTCCCTTCTTAAAAAGCCAACAAACCAGCGAAGCATCCACAACCTCACACTCTTTTTTGTCCCATACAGCTAAATCCTGGCCAGCTCACAGAGCTTGTGACCTGCCCACTGCTTAATCCAAACAGCCATTCATAAAGCAAGGACATCCTTAATGCCTTCTTTTAAAAGTGCTTGTAGAGAGAAGAACTGATACTCTTTGGTTTTTTTGGTGTTTATTTTTGTTTGTTTGTTTGTTTTTGTTGTTGTTGTTTTTAACTAGCAATTAGTACAAAAAGCAGCTTAGAATCCTACACTTGTGGCTGCAGAGTGGGAAATCTGGAAGGGCTGGGGTTGCTTGGGTCTGTAACTGAGTGCTGGACAACCACAGCCTGAAAATGCTGGCTGGCAAGTGGCAGCTCTGGGGTGGCCTTTGTCACAGGGGCTGTGCCACACTGGCATGGGACTTCAGCAGCACCAGGGATGTGTCAAACACAACACCCAGCTGTGCTTGTCTGGGTGCTGACAGGGGCTTGAAGCCCAGAGTCACTACACTTCCCTCTTGCATTGACTGCATTTCCTGACAGGACACCATTGACCTGGAAAATTCCCCCTTGGCTCTGGTGCTGTTTCAGCAGCCTTGATGGCCACAGCCTTTCTGTTCAGAATGAGCTTTGAAATGCTCATTCTCCACTTGCAGGTTCTCTTTTAAAGCTTTTACCCTCAGAAACCAGTCCCCACAGCAGCTTACTTCCCTGACAGATTCCTTCTTTTAGGTTTCTTTAGTCAGTAAGTTATTAGATGGCAGGATGCATACCCAACTGAGTGTTCTGATGAATGTTGTACACATTTGTGGTGTTCTGGACATAATTACTAGCAAACAGAGATGGAGACAGATGGTTGAAAGCATCTGAGATTTTCACACCTCATAGAAAACCAAAACGTTGTTCTACTTTTAACAGTACAACGTAGAGATCAGGGTGATTTGGGTTTTTTTAATAAGTTTTTAAAGAAAGAGTTTATCTGCCTCTTCCCCCAAATTGGTTCACACTTCTCTCTCTGCCCCCTTCATTCTTCATAAGCAGTGCAGCAACATGAGGAAGCCAGACAGATGAAGGAAGAGAATAACTCTGAAGACAGAAAAATACCTTCTCTTTACCACAAAAATAACCTTTGATATGCAGAGTCAAGTCCAGAGACCCTCAAGTACTTTTAAAAGAGAAAAGTTTAGAGAGGCATTTTAGATGGCAGAGGTGGATAGTTTTTTCTCTGCCTCTAACATAAATACAGCCCTTTCATGCCAGTACTGATCTGTTAAACATCCAGATTTCAGTGTGATGGGCAGACAGGACCCTGCCTCTGAAATCCTCAACAGCAGAGGTAGCAGTCAAATCCAGATCTGGATTCCTCTCCCCTGCTTTGTTTTTGTCTCTAAAAAATAACTTTAATTTGGTGCAACCAATTAGAACAATTTTTTGAGCACAAATAGTAGATGTAGTTTCTCCACCAATTGAAAAAATATCCTTTACCCATGGTGCCCTCAGACAGAATAGGTTTGCATCCCCAGCCCTGTCCCAGCCTGCAAAGCCACAAGGCTACATCACCTTTCCTGTTTGGCTTTAGGTCTTCCAGCTGCAGGAGTGCGACCGCATCACGATCCTGCGGAACTCGCTGTGGGTGCACTGCAACCAGCTGTCCCTGCAGTGTGTGAAGGATGATGAGGTACAGCCTGCCCTGCCCTTCTCTGCTGGGCTGGCTCCAGGGGAATATCCCACTCCTGTTCTCCCAGATGTAATCCAGATGCATTCTGCATGCAGGCTTGGTGGCACTCACACGTCTCCTCCTTGGTGTGCTGGAGAACGCTTCCTGCTACCAAATACTGCTACCAGTATATTTGGGCTCTGACACAATTTCAAAAAAGGCATCCAGTCATGGCCTCAAAACTGGAAGATATAAAGAATACTCTAGAGATTTGACTTTGAATCGTTGTTTCCTGCTATTAATTTCTTTATTGAAAAGTTCTGGATTGTCTTTGTCCTGCTCTCTTTAAAGACTATCCAGAGCACAAAGAGGTGTGTTTACAAGAATATTGGTACAGGGGGCAAGCTAAAGATCAGCCAGGTCAGACATGTACCAAGTAAAAAGTATTTCTTAAGGGGACAATTACTACAAGAGCATTATTTGTTAATTCAACATGAAAGGTTAAAAGTTAAATTAAACTCTTGGATTTTGTTTTGTAGATGTATGAAGAGGTTCGGGTCAGCTTGGAGAACTGTGTTGTAGAGTCAGACATAGACTACTTCATTAAGACAAAAATGACAGGAACACAACCTCCAGGTAATTATTCCTACTGATCTTGTCAGATGGCTTGTGCAGTACACGTCCTTAGGAAGTGAAACCAGCTGGAGGAATTTCTGCTCCAACTTTTTGTTCCCACCTGCAGTGCTCACTTCCCCCACACTGTGCTGCCATCGCTGCCTGAGTGATGCTCTAAGTGGGATAGCAGAATGATCCAGCTTAAAAATAACCCTCCAAGGAAGGAAAAACTTGTTTTGGCTTTGCAGCCAGGCTCATTTCACAGTACAGCTGAATTGACACCACTAAGGAGGTGGCAAATTGCCTTGCAGAAATGGCAACTTCAGCTTCCTGCAGTGGTGACAAGGCAGAGCCACCCTACCACATAACTGCACCCCAGTGTCCCCTTGGCAGAGGTGCTGCTTCTTCATTTGCAGCAGAGAGAAAATCCAGTTTTCTATTCTGTTCCACATGCCCAATGGGGAATAACAAATCTGCTCTCAGGAAGTTGTTTGCATAAACCAAGACTCTGGGAGAAATTCTGAATTAAATTGGCTTTGTCCCAGCACACAGAACTCTGCCCATTCAAGCCAAAGCTGCCTTTTCCTTGACTTCAGTGCTCAAAACCCCTGGTCTGAAATGGAGGTCAACCCACCACGAGGCAAGAGCAGATAGAAAATGAAAACCTGCTGCTCCAGGGTAGGAGTTGTACAAGCACTCCTTAGCAAAGGAGCTGCCTGATGTGTCACACGGCCAGACACAAACCACACCCGAGTGCTTCCACAGGCAACAAAAGAGAGTTACATAAACCCTGCCATGCTGGGAGTTGTACAGGTACAACCCAGCAGTGTGAGGGCCTGAGCCCTGGGTGATTATCAATTATCAATTATCAATTATCAATTGTCTCCTACAAAAACAAGTTCCACTCCTTTGATTTCACTGCAGAGCTCAAGGCTGGCAGGAATTGCACCCCAGAACCTTCTCCAGCAGAGCTGGGTGCTGCCACTAATTCAGCACTGAGCTGAGGCCTGCTTTTCACTCAGCCTTTTTGCCATTACTCTTGTGGTGGCTAAAAATTAGGAGTTGGGGAATTTTTAAAAACTAATATATTGCTGCTGGTGTACTGGACGCCATTTTGCTGCTATAGTTTGTTCTTCACATACAAGATTTAAATTCACTGATACAGGAGAATTTACCCAGGAAAATTAAATTTGCAGTAGCAGAAAGGAGAACTGTGCCTTGCATCAGTATGAAACAACTTCTGTATACTAAGAAATGTGTAATTCTCAGCTAGTTTTTTGGGGTTTTTTTTGTTTGTTTGGTTGGTTTTTTTGGGTTTTTGTTTGTTTGTTTTTTGTTTTGTTTTGTTTTGTTTAGGTTTTTGGGGTTTTTTTCCAATTTGAGATTTGTCATTCTCCACTCACCTAGGAAATTTCTACAAAAATCTTTTGGCCATGTCAGAGTCATTTCTAATAAGAACTAGGTGGAAAAAAACCTTGAGAACTTTATGAAATGCAAAGAAAAACCTGACTTGCTTTTTTGTTGTTTATTTTTGCCACCTTCTAGAAGATTACATGTTCTGGAAGCAATATCCTCATTTTTCCACAGCTCTGGGCAATGAGTTTGCACTGTAGCACATGGTGAGCTGTTGATCTGTGCTATTATTTGCAAAATGCAGGAGGAAGCTCACGTGTAATTTTGCATTGTGTGGCAGAAGACCTTCATCCTGACCAAACCTCCTTGATGGTCTTGCTCCCTTCCTTCCCTACCCAGTCTTACAGTGCCCTCTAGACTGGAAACTGCACCAAGGTGACAATGCAGAAGGGCAACAGGAGACCCTTAAATTGGTCAGAAAACTCCCTAATTACTATAAGTCTTATTTGTAGGGATTCTTCACACTCTCTAGCTCTGTGTGCCTGCTCTGCTTAGTAGCTTGGCTGACGCAGTGTGAGAATGTCAACATAACCCTTAGCCCAAGCCTGTCTTTCTTACCTTGCTGGTATCAGGGCAGAGATAAAACCCTATCACAGGCTTCACTCATGTGTGCTTGGCTCACACTGAACAGGCAGAAAGGCTGTGCGGCCACAGCTGTGAGAACTGCACTGGGAGCTCCGGGATGGCAAATAAATCCATCTGTAACTGTTCCATCTGTAAAGTTACACTTGGAAATGGTTTGAATTTCACCCTTAACGACACCATAGGGGAGAGCAACGGAACTGCAACCTAAATGTGTTTGCGAGAAGAAAATCCAGATATCTCTGGGTAAACAGCAAATAAGCTCTCAGGAGGCAGACGGAGGAGATAGGAAAGGTGGGGAAACACACAAGCAAACACCAGGAAATTGCTCGTTATTGCTTCAGGCAATATCACTCAGAAATCTCCCCGGCTCTGACAAAAAATTCCTGACTGGATACACTGAGGAAAGAAGAAACAAAATGGGCTGCAACAAATTCTGCCATGAACACGGTTTAGGGCACTCAGTGGCCATACTGTGCCCCCTCAATAGTAGAAACAGCCACGGAGGGAACAGCTTTCCTCAGCAGGGCGGTCACAGCTCCTGGCATGGGCCGGGGGTGCCTTGCCACCAGGCTGCTTACAGCCACTGCCACGGCTTCTGCCAAGCCCCGGGCTCCGCCGAGCTGCTCCAGCCAGGTCCAGGTGAGGGCAGACAGGTGCTGCCCCGTTTGCTCCAGGTCACAACGTTTTCTCACAGCGTTTCCTGTTCGAACATGTGTTTTTTATCGCCCTGCCGCAGATGCCATAGGCTACGAGAGCTACTACAGCCGAGAGCCCCGCCGGCGCAGCAGCAGCCCCACGCAGTCCTGCGGCGTGATCAAGAGGTGAGCGGCGCTTCCCGGGCGGGGCTGCTCCAGCTCGGCAGCCCTGCCCGGTGACAAAGCACCTCGTGGAAAGTTATTGCTTCCTCCACTGTGGCAAGAGGCAACTAGGTACCAGTAAATGTGACTGGACAGAAGACGGTATGAAACTGGAGTGAGAGTCATTTTGCCGTGCCCCAGTGGGAGGAGGGACAGGGGATGAGTTCATCGCACAATAACTTGGCCAGCAATGGGGAGCAGACGTTTGTTTCCTCTTTCCTACTGAGTCAGGGCACTTAGCAACAAAACCAGTTTGTTCCCGGGAGGGTAAAGGTGAATCCGGCTGGGAGCAGAGGCTGGAAGAACTTTCCTTTGGGGCCATTCCTCCATGCTTACAGCACCACTCAGCTGAGCAGAACAAAAAGCTGCTCTCTCTTTCTGGATCAAAGAGCTGCTCTGTCTGGATAGTGGAAAAACTGTGATGATTAGGGAGGCAATTTTCCTTATTCTGATCGATTTGTGCTGGTAAATGTTAGAACATGGATGCAGTTATAACAGCAGAAGAACGTGGTAGCTCTATTGGTTTAAATATTTTATACTTAAATGGCAAATTCACAGTGGGGAGGGCATTGCAGTTAAAGCAGAAGAGATTTATATTTTAACAAGCCCTATGACATGGCAAAGACAAGAATTAGGCAGTGATCTCTCATCTGGAATGTGGTCCAGGCTTGCCAGGGAGCTGGTCAGGGTTGTACACAATGCTTTGTTTTTCAGCTGGAAACTGGATCTTCTCTAATAACGAATTCAGTGCTGCATCCTGTGCAGTTACATAAGACAATTGCACTGCCATTCAGAGCACCACTGTGAGCAGCATGGGCAGGGACCTGGAGAGACTCAGCCTGAGTCCTCCAGGAACTCCTGAGATAGGATATCCATTTTCCAGAAAAATGGAATGTTCTCTAGCTGAAAAATCAGACCCTTTAAATATGCCTTAAGCATGCAATGCTATTTCTATCTCTGCTTGAGAATTCGAACTCATTTTCTCACTTTACTTAGTCTTCAGTACCCAGCTGTGATATAGGAAATAACTAGGGATAGATTAAAATAAAAATTCACTTAAACTCACAGCTTTTAGAAAGGCTTGTTACACAAGCTCTGTATTTTAAATTGTATCAGGGTTTTCCTTAAACACAAAGAGATGTTAATATCTTAAAAGCAACTGACAATTTTCATAATTTTAACTTTGTGATGTTAATTGGAGTTTCACACCACGAGCCTTCGGCTCTACAAAAAATATTCTCTGCTGTGTTTCATGCACAATTTAGTGAAGCCTGATGTTGCAATAGTCTGCTGCATTTTTAAAATACATTTTAAAGGAAGGTAAATATATCTACAGCATAAAAGAAAATAGAAGGCCATGGGAAGAGATGACATCTACTCTGTGAAGCAGATGGAGGGAAGGCTGAGTCAGAGAGCTGAGATGAAGGAATGCTCATATCCAACCTTGTTCACTCATTTTGGTTTTGGCTTCTCTTGGTTCTGCAGATTCTCTGGACTACTGCATGGGAGCAGCAAAAACAACACAGAAACTGCCACTCCTTCAGCCCCTCCTCTGGGTATGCTCCGCAGGAAATCAGTTTACCAGATGTGTTTGTTTAAGATTGTGTTGCTAAACCAGGCTTTGACAAGGAGCAGAAACGTACAGCAGATATTCACAAGTTGGCCGGCAAGAGTAGTCTGGAAATTAATTTTGCTTGGATGTGTATTAACAGATTTCCCAGTTTAAAGTGCAAAATAACCCATAGAGTCTTCAAAACCTCCGTCTAGGCCGGGGGGGCTGTACATTCAGAGCAGCAGCCTGACACAGATAGTAGTTTTCTCCTTGTGTAGCATAACTACCACTAAAAAGCCCCACAGAATACATAAAATTTTTAACACACCAGGCACATGGCTTATGAATACAAATACCCATCTCACCTCACAGTTGCACTGCTGCTTTGTAATCCTTATAACTAGGAATTTATCAATGATATTTAAAACACAGTATTTTCACTATGTAAAAGGTAACAATTTATGACATTTTTATTGATTTGATAGTAAACAAAAGCATTTTAACTGTAGTCCATACCAAAAGAAAAGTTGTTTTCAAACAGCTTTAAAATCAACTGCCTCTGTCAGACCTGCCTGCTTGGGCACCCAGAAGCACAGCCCAGACTCTCTCTTGTGCTGCTGGTGCTCAGCAGGGGAAGCCCCCAGACAGATGCTGGGAAGGAATGAGACATTTCCCTAATTACAACAAGCTGTATTAAAATATCTGCAAAAAAAGTTATATCCATGACAAATAACTATGTGAGAACTACATAAACCAGTGGAAAATGTCTGGTGACCCATTGGCACAATGTTTTCCATTTTTCTCTATTGGAAAAGGAAAGTCCTGTGTGAGCCGGGGAGCTACTGGAATTTTATACCCCCAGTAGCAACATTGTTAAACCATTTTAATCAGTGTTTCCCTCCTTGGATGACTTGGATTGTGTTTTACCAGGGGGAACCTTTTTCCCAACCTGAGGCTAAAGCTGGTTTCTGACCTCCCACAAAGTTCAGTGGGTGTATTGTCATCCCATCAATGGGGGACTGTTTTTGTGCAAGATGTACCTACAGTTCACAGCAGCTTTTCTGTATGTGTGCATCTCCAGGCAGAGAGAGAACAGAAACCCTTGTATTTGTGAACTCTTGCATATGATCCCACACTTCTATAAGCAACTGAACTCTTTCTGTGCTGGGTATTTCTTTCTGATTTCCCCCCCTTGCAGAGAGAACAGAAGGAGTCTATGCATCCATTTTTGTCAATGAAAAAGCTGAGATCACATCATCACAGGACTACAGAGTACTTTATGACTACACAGCACAGGTAAAAAAAAGTGTTTATTTCAAAATAAACACTTTAGAGTACCACATTTAAAATAAGTGACGCTGACTGAAACATCCTCAAAGTGTAAATTCTGTGAAGGAAATGTTACTGTCATCTTACAGCCAGGGACAGAATCTGTCCTGCTGCAGTTTAGCACACTGGCTCTGCATGCTGGAGAGGACAGAATCCCATAAAGGACATTCTTTCCCTGTACTTCCATGTTGCAAGCTGCAGAATCACAGTGGATGTGGTTCATCTGCCAACTCAAAGAGAACAACTACATCCTTAACTGGGATATGGAGCTCTCCCTGCCTCCAGTCCTAACTAGACAGAATACCCTTAGTAATGGGTTGCAAATGGACTGGTTATAAATATTTGCTAATTCAGATGGACTCCAGAACCTGGACTCCAACCCCACTTGTTTTACATGTCAGTTTAAAAACAGCATCCAGGAAGTCTCATGTCTCAGTGCAGAGAGAGCCTCACACCAAGGCACTGCCACCAACAGCCAACATTGAAGAAATGTGAGAGTAACAAAATAGATAAGTGCCAGATAAATTATGAAAACAGAGAAAAAAGCTCAAAAGGAGCACTTTCCTTTAGGTACAGCAGTATTCCAACACCTTTTATTTGATGTTGGGTTTTATTTTTACTTAATTTTAAACTTTCTTTTGTTATTTACATGAAATTTAATGCAAGCACAGTTGAAAGCACCTCACTGTTAATGGCAGCTCCCCTAAGGAGACTACTGGATCACCTCATTACTCCAGGAGTCTCTTAAAACTGTGCCACACAGGGATATTCCCTGCTGAGAAAAGAGCCTCTTATTACCTTTAGTATATTGTACATTGAGGCCTCTCACTTTTTGAGTCTGTTCTTACCTACTCAGGTGCATTAAATTCAGTTTTAGCTGACACCTCAAACATCTCTGGAAGCCTCCCTTATGCTGTTTTCTATTTACTACACTGTGGGCAGCAAAGTGGTTTCTTATGGAAAATGGAACAGCACCAGTGAACACTGATGGCTGCCTGGGAGCTCAGGGAGAGTTTATTTGCAACTACTGCATTTGTCTGGGGATGAAAGTCACTGCTGTCCAAGAGTCACTGTCCCCCATTGGTCACTGCTGTCCCTGCTGAAAGAACTGAGAGACCTATTTCAGGCATGGATTAGCAGAGGCACTGTTATCCCCCTTAGGAATTAAGCTATGCTCTGTTTTATTTAGCAGCACCTGCAGACTATGCAGGTCATGGTGAGCTGCTGTAGGAGAGTGGTGTTTAACCCTTTCTGCATGTCCCCAGTGATAAAACCATTAGGTTGTGCAGGAGGAGACACCACAGAGGCTGGGGAAATCTTAAAGAGCATCTTAAAGAAATAGCCAAAATGCTTAATCCCTCACTGTCTGGTATTTCAGAACCAGAAGGACACTGGCAGAATGTTGATAAAGAGCAGGATTTAAAAAAGCCCCAAAGCCCCACCAGATACTTCTTAGGCCCTCCTGTGCTCTCAACAAGCCACATTCCTTTCCCTGTCTCCTTTCAGAACGTGGATGAACTGGACATCAGTGAAGGAGACACCGTGGTCGTCATCGCAGAAAACGAGGACGGCTGGTGGACAGCAGAAAGGAACGGGCAGCGAGGCTTCGTGCCAGGCTCTTACCTTGAAAAGCTTTGATGAAAAGGAGCCCCAGTCCTCAGACTTTACAAATATTCTGTTACTGAAAACAACCAGCACACAAGGTCTGCTTCAGCTGACCAAGAGCATCCCAATAATAATGTTTTCTACAACTACCACTCAGGAAATAACCAACTGACCATGCTTTTCTCTCCCTTGCTCCTGCCTCATCCCATTACTCTCCAGGCCTACACTATCTGAAAAAAAAACCATCTTTACTTCTGAGAGATTAGGGCTTGCATGTTTTGGCACAGTCCTACCCTCAGCACATTGTGCTGCCAGCAGTGTTTCAAAGTTTGGCGATTCTGGGAGGAAAATCCCGCCCAGATCTCACCTGTGCAAAGGGAAAAGATCACAGAAGCAAATGCAGTTTCTGCAGGATGGAGACTGTCCCCAGCCAGCCTGGGAACCACCCTTATGGTCCTGACAGCCATGTTCTGTGCCACAGATCCCTTTCTCCCCATGCACAGGCCATGCTGGCATTTTTGACAGACGATAATTTATCAGTCATGGATGAAGCAGTGAATGCACCCAGAGAGAAGCACCTGAAGGACCAGGACATGTCCCTCATAGGAAAACCTGAGGCACTCCCCATCACAACCATCTCCTAACACAGTAAAATCCACACTAGCCACGGGCTCTGCTTTGCACTGGATTCTGGGACAGATGCTGGGCTCCAGGCTTGCTTTTGCCTTGGCTGGAAGGTTTCCCTAACGCCTCTCTAGGATGATGAAGTTCAAAAATCCAAAATCACAAATAGCAGCTAAGCCAAGCCTCCAGCAATGCTGCATTGCCCTGAATCCTCTGCTCTGAGCCCCAGAGAATTGCCAGTTACCTCCCCTGCAATGCCAGCAGGGCATTCTGCCTTCCAGCCCCTCAGCCTCTCCTCCTGCCCACAGGCTGCTCTGGCTCATCTGCTGCCTGCAGCCTCTGCACTTCTGCCACTGCTGCCACAGGGACATCCTGGGTTCTTTGCAGCCACCTCTCATGTGCTCATTCTTCAACAAAACCTCTTCAGAGATGTTGCACTGTGCAGGTTCACTGTATTTCACAGATTTCAGCTCTATCAGTCTTTCTAGTTTAATACTTAAGAATGTTTCCAACTCTTAGTGTACTGTGCAAGTGATTGGTGGATAGTTTCTGCCATTCTTCCCTTTTCAGTATTTCAAGATAGTTAAAAAAAATTGAATCAGAGCAAACTATTTCTGGGGCCAGAATGATTGTTTGCCAAGGTTTCACGTCTTAAAACTGAATCAATACTCTGAAAATTCATCTTATTGCTACCCGAAAGGCATGGAGGAGAGAGGAACTGTGGCTCAGACACACAAAAGAAAGACAAGAGAAATTAGGACAAAATAAAAAGGTGTAATGGTCAATGCAGTCTTTTCTTAAATGAAACACAGTGAAGGTCAGAGGCACTTGCAGTATCTTATTCGAATTCTTCCTTCAAGAATGAAGCAGAAGTTGCCACAGGCCCTTTTCCTTTGGCACAGGCCCTTGTCCTTCCACACTCCCCAATCACCCCAGCACATCCACAGCAGGGCTGGAGGGCTCCGGGCCCCTGGCACCAGCACAGGCTCGGGGGTGGGATGGCACTGGAGGCAGCAGAGTGGGAGCAGCAGCACTGCCCAGGCTGGAGAGGTTGCTGTGACACACCTCAAGTGACACAAAGGTGCACAATGGCTCCAGCTTGACCAGGACAGTACGAGTGGAGGCTGCCCAACAACCACAGCATCCCTTGTTAGCTACAGCAGGAGAAGGAACCAAAAGCACAAGAGATTTAATGTATTTACTTCTTCAACACTCAATCTTCCACAAAAAAGCCTGTAATGAACCAATAAATAATAAATTTAGATGAATATTTTGCATATTATCTTAATTAAACAGAAAAAAACCAAACAACAAACCCAAAACTACTGAAATGCACCTTCTCTACTGACGTGGGACACACAGATTTTGCAGGACTTCTCACTTCTCTGGCGGCCCAACCTCACACAAAGCACTGCAGGGCCTAGTCTTGATTGCCCTGAAACCCAATTACAGATCATCTTTGCTTGCATGGACCACATGGTCTACATCACCAACAGAAAGCTGGTGGAATGGTGACTGCTGTTTCTCTCCCATCAAATCATTCCATATTTTGCTGTTTAAGTCAGGAAACCAATTTCCTGTCTACCAGTATCTTCTGTCAGGTAAACACTGTTAAATGGCAGGAGGCTATAGGTATTTCAAAATCTCCCCAGTGTCACAGCATTTGGGTCCCACATGCTAACTCCAGACTGTTCAGGAAATGAAAAACAGCAGCAATATTTTCTCATGAATCCTCTGCTTCACACTGTCTAGATATGGCTTGGAACTACTTATCAGCCAAATTCTTCAGTTTGTCCTATCTGCGTGGCAGCACTTGTCACAAATAGAACAGAGATATCTAGAAATACCCACACCCTTTGAGAACACCCACATTTCAGGTGTCATCCATCTACCCACCCCTACCAGTAGGAAAAGCAGGAAGGTCAGTTGTAGGTTACTGCTTTATTAACATCACCCTTATTAACACTTCCTCTCCAGTTTGGTAACATTTGGGCAATTAAACTGACACAATCAAGTTATCATTCAATTTTCAGCTAAGGTGGGAAGATGAAATGGGCCCTTTCCAGTGGCATTCTTATACTAAAGTCAAAACATGTATTTTGTTTTCTTTTACCATTTACTACCAATTAAGGAGAACAGGAAAACCTGTATGAAGTAACATTTAATCAATGACAACCACATGTAATTAGGAAATGTCTGCAAGTGTAGGACAAGGTCCATCTCTGCACAGAACAGACTTCTGCATATTAAGAGCCCACAGGCCAGTAGTAACAGCAAAGTAGGATGAGACTAGAAACAGAGATCCAACAGACCCAGCTCTTGGACAGCCAACACAGCCAGGCCTCCTGCCAAGTTCAGTGATCGCAAAGCCAACCAGCTTCCAGCATTTCCAACAACCAGGCAGCTAAAAGGAAGAAATGGACCTCTTCCCAGCTGAGCGTGTAGCAACAGCAGGAGCACAGTGACTGATCAAGGCTTCAAGTTTTTGCCACCTCCCCGAGGACCCCTGGCTTGAGCTCTGTAGTATGAACAACCCCAGCACACATCAGCCAAAATGGTAACAGATCATGGGCATAAACAGGAGAAACTCTTATCTTGGCTTCCTTCCTGTCTCAAGAGCTGAACTCGTGGTCTAAGCCTCCTCTCCAGAGGTAATTTTCTCCCAGTTGCTGCTCATACCTCACTGATTACTGAACGCAGTTGAAGTGGAAGCACATGGATGCCGACAGGAGATGCACTTCAGCCAAGCACCAGGTGGTGGGTGTCTGACAGGAGCCTGGGTGGGCATTGAGGAACACCCAACTCAGCACTGGTGGTAACTCACACTCTGTGGTTCCACAGAACCTCCTGGCAGGATCATTGTGCAGGTTGGAGAGCATGGGGCACTCTGCATCAGAGCAGTCCAAACACTGTATAAAAAGTCACTACTAGCCTTCAGTGTGGAATGCAACAACTCTGCATGGGACAGCACAAACTGTAGAGCCCTGAACAGCAGCCTAGACTGCTCAACACATTCTCTTTCCCCTGGCTTTCCTGTTCTCCAGCTTGCAGGGGCGGGGCATTGTCACAAGAGCAGTCACCAGCCACACAAAAACCAGTAATTCCCATGTCCTTACACAGGAACTACACTCAGCTAGTGAACAAGAAAGGAAACAAAGTTGTGATGCTGAGTCTTATCTGCCTTCTGGAAAACAAATGGCTGCTAAGGGACTGCAAGGGCTGATGGGCTGGGTTTTGTAGGGGAAGAATACTTCTGTGGAGGATTTGATTCTGGAAGAGGAATTACTGTCCTGCCTGCGGTTATGTTATTAACAAAATGCCAACACTGCATTCACTCAAGAGGGCAAATAATTACTCTATTCTTTGTTAGCAATTACATACATTCAGCAGCCAGCTCACACTTTACTCAGAGCTACAGTTATCTCCAGATTTGTGCACTCCTGGATCCCGCACAGTGCAAATCTGATCAGTTTCTAGAATAGCTGGATAATCATATTTCCATCAAATTAGCCAGTTCCATGTGGTACAGTGCTCAAGTTGTCCTTCTACCAGCTGCTAAAGGACGGCTGACACCAGATCTGGGACAAAGCTGCTGGAGCACCATTAAGAGAACATTTGCAGACTATCACTGCTGGGTGACATGTGGCTGCAGTCATTTTGTCCCACACACTGGCCCAAAACGCAAATTTACTGTGGTGTTCTATTCTGACTGAAAGTAAATCTCACTTTTAGATAGAAAACTCTTAACAGAAATCATCGTGACCTCCCAGCAAAATCAGCAGAAATCAGAATTGACATCCCTGAAATTTCTAAGGAGAAAGACAGTATCATCCAAAACCACCGGGCAAACAAAACTCAATTTACAGCACAGCTTCGAGTTTATAACCAGGGATTCCACATATCCTGAGGACTGAGCTGGGGGGCAGAGGTGAATGGGAACAAGTACCCTAAGAGGATGTTTGAAAGCAGGAGGAATTTTACTTACCAGATCTAAAAGAGCCATTGTTAACCAGATCTGGAAGCTTAAACCAGCAACAGGTATCCCAGCTTTGCTGCCCTTACCAGAATTCAACCGAACACCAAATTAAGGCAGACATAAAGAGAAGCAACCAGTGTGTTAATAGGAGTAAGGCAGAATGAGCTACAGCTGCAAAAATGGTGCTTTGACTGAAATTGTCTTTCACTGAAATGCAGGCGTTTGCCGCAGCCTCTGCCTCAGGGTAACTGGACATACAGTACAGGCAAGAAATTCCAGCCTAAACTTGAATGAAATTTCCTGCGTGTCAGATCACACACTTGGATCGTTCAAGCAGCCCAGACTAAACCCTTGAATATATCAATGGCTTCGTGAAGCAAAGGTGACTGTGGAGAAGTCGCATCGCACCCCTCAATCTCCCCTTTCATCAGGAGGAGCTTGTAATCCACTCTGACACCGACCTGAAAATCCTCGTGGCACACTCAGCATTTTGGTGATTGTTCAGTCCCAGACCCAGCCTAAACAAGCACTGGGTGGTGGTCTGATCAATATTTGCAATGGAAAATCTCATCCAAAAGGACAAATTACATTGTGTACACAGTGCTCGTTTTGTAATAGGACTGGCTGCCTCTGAGGAAGGGGGTGCAGGTATCAGGTAACACACTCAATGCAGGGAGCGTGTGGGGGAGTTCAATGCATTCCCGT